AAAATAAAATCAATCGTACCTACCAGAGACAATAAATATATCAAAAATCAATTTAAACAATGACGATTGTACAACAACAGTACAACCATGGGCTATATCGTTCCAATTTCATTGAATCATTTTGAATTAAATTAATAGAAAAGAAAACATTAGAATATAGGGTAAACTCCCTAATTGTTGGCACTTTAAGAGTAGGTAGCATGTCAGACATTAAATTACCATAAAATCACATCTAAATGAGTTAGTATTAGTACACATGTTACACATGTAACAGTATCAAGGAAAGTAGTTTAATCTTTGTTTTCATAATGGTATAGTCAATGAAGGCAAAAATCAGCTGCAACCTCCGATTTCGTTGAACCGCCATCGATTTTCATGGCGTAGGTGGGGGATACCATAAGAAACAAAAGTGACATAGTGCCAACTTGCGCTTTTGCCCTGAGGGTAGATACCACCCCTTCTCGGGGGTGAACATTATTTTAATAAAAATAATTCCAGGAACCGATAGAAAGACAAATTCTAAGTAAAATTTGTTATATTAAGTTTTCGGAATAAATCAATACTTTCTGAGTTATTAAAGATTAAATATTGTGATTTTGCGTGATAAAAATACATGTTTAAGCGGTTTTTCATAAATAACTCAAAAACTATGAGCATTACAAAAAAAACATTAGTACTACCTACTTTGAAAAACCTTCTAATTTCAATTCAAAGTGAGCTATAGGTAATTGTATGTACATATATTTTTTTCGGCAAGTACTTAATCTAAGTATTCAAACCTAAATAACGGGAAACCGATGAATTTATGACATACACTTCCGGAGCACTTTTTAAATTCCTCAGAAATACCTTTATAATGAGCACTGTAAAAAGTTAATAGCTTCAAAATTGAAAAAGTTATGATAAAAATAAGATAACACTTATTTTTTTTAGGAAAAACGAAAAATAATTCCAACCATTCATCAAAATGCATCGGTTTCCCGTTATTTAGGGTTGGAAACTTAGATTTAAGTACTGGTCGAAAAAATATATACATACAATTACCTATAGCTTTGAATTCATATAAGAAGGTTTTTCAAAGAAGGTGTTTGTTTTTTTATTAGCTTAAATTTTGGTAATAATTAGACTTGCAACGAATAGTATATTCGGCAGTATACCGAATATTCGGCGAGGCCCCTGACCGAATAGCTGAATATTAGGCAAAAGTATTCGGCTGGATTTTAGCGCCAAAAACTTGTACACACGTGATTTTGTTTGCAGTGCAATTCAGTCAAACGCAGTTTCAACAGAAATGGATCTTTTCTTAAATATTAGTAATATATCACGTCATTACAACCCATATACATGGTGGCAGCAAGGAAAATTGAATTTCCGTGTTTGATTAAGATTGCAGCAAAATATTTGTCGGCGCCAGGAAGTAGTGTTTATTCAGAGCGCCTTTACTCTGAAGCTGGGATGGTGTACGAGAAAAAAAGAATTTCTACTACTTCCTAAAAATGCAGAAAATTTAGTCTTTCTGCACCATAACCTTCCCCTTCTAAATTTTGATTATGAAAATAATTCAAATGCATAGAAAAATTCTTAACTTGTTTAATACAGAAAATGATTAAAATATGTTCCTGTTTTATGTACCAATGACTACTTAATAAATGATTATAAAAGAAATGAGAACCTTTTAAATTTTGATTACCACAATAATTCAAATACATAGAATCCTCCATTTTTCCAATTCAGAAGATGATTATGTACCAATGGCTACTTTAATGATTATATATAACAGAAATGAAAATATGAATATATACCTACGTAATCAATCGATATTAATTTTCATTTTACCAATTATTTTCTATGACAAAATATATTATTTAAGTATTCGGTATTCGGCCGAATAATATGTAGGTATTCGGTATTCGGCCGAATATAATAAAAGCAGCCGAATAGGCCGAATACCGAATAGTAACCGAATATTCGTTGCGTCTAGTAATAATATATTTTTCTTTAAACTCATAGCTTTTGAAATATTTATGAAAAACCGCTTAAAACATGAATTTTTTGACGCAAAATCACAATCTTTGATCATTATTAACTCAGAAAGTATTGATTTATTTCGAAAACTTAATATAACAACTTTTGCTTAGAGTTTGTCTTTCTATCGATTCCTGGAGTTATTTTTATTAAAATAATTTTTACCCCCGAGAAGGGGTGGTATCTACCCCTAGGGAAAAAGCGTAAGTTGGCACTATGTCACATTTGTTTCATATGGTATCCCCCACCTCATCACCATTTTTCATGAAAATCGATGGAGGTTCATCGAAATAGGAGGTTATAGCTGATTTTTGCCTTCATTGACTGTATTATTATGAAAACAAAGATTGAACTATATTTCCTTGATACTGTTACATGTGTTGTGTACTAACTCATTTAGATGTGATTTTATGGTAATTTAATGTCTGACTGACATGGAACCTACTCTTAAAGTGCCAACAATTAGGGAGTTTACCCTATAGTGTAATGTTTTCTTGTCTTATAACTATTAATTTTATTCAAAATGATTAAATGAAATTGGAACGATATAGCCCACGGTTGTACTGATACAATCGTCATTGTTTAAAATTATTGTTGATTTATTTATTGTCTCTAGTACGATTTGACTTGGCGGGCTATCTGAAAAACGGTTTTTTTTTTGTCTGACAGCTTCAAATTTGAGTTTTTTCAAATAATACTTTGGAACAATGTTAGGAACAACTAGAATAACTTGGAACAACTTTAAAAATAACGAATTTCCAAACATGGGGGGCTATCTCAAAAACGGTTTTTTTGCCTGACAGCTTCAAATTTGAGTTTTCTCAAATAATACTTTGGAACAATGTTAGGAACAACTAGAACAACTTGGAACAACTAAAAAAGTATTGAATTTCAAAACATGGGGGGCTACCTTAAAAACGTTTTTTTTGTCTGGCAGCTTCAAATTTGAATATTATCAAATAATACTTTGGAACAATGTTCGGAACAACTAGAACAACTTGGAACAACTAAAAAAATATTGAATTTCCAAACATGGGGGGGCTACCATAAAAACGTTTTTTTTATCTGGCAGCTTCAAATTTGAATATTTTCAAATAATACTTTGGAACAATGTTCGGAACAACTAGAACAACTTGGAACAACTAAAAAAATATTGAATTTCCAAACATGGGGGGCTACCATAGAAAAACGGCTTTTCTTGTCTGGCAGCTTCTAATTTTAGTTTTTTCAAATAATACTTTGGAACAATGTAGAACAAACATAGAACAACCTAGATAATAATAAAATTCAAAAAGTGGGGGGCTAACTTCACAGAGGTAATAAGGTACTCTGTAACAGAAACATGAGCCACAGATAAGAGAGAATTTTTAAACTCTTTGTTAACCAAAGAAATCTTATCTTCCTTATCTTCAGCAGCTTTATTATTTTTGTTATGTTTGTATTATAATCATATTTTAGATTTTTAGTGTAGGACACCTTATAATATTATTTATTTATTAATTTATAGTCAGGCAACGTAGGTCCATTGATAGATACCTTAAAGTCTAACATATTATATACAGATTATAATGTGTTTATGCAGGTGTTTGGCGAAAAATGTATGGCAATGGACTTTATGATGTCGCGTACCATCTATAATAATTGTCTTAGCACATTTGCATGTAGTGAAAATGATAATATTGTTGTGGATATTAATACCACAGTGTAATAAAAAAAAGATTTATTTTATCGATCTTTACAAAATAGATTTGTTTTTATGTTATATAAACAACCTCGATCAGTCTTTGGCTGAATGTTATTACACCCATAGCTATTAAAAATGATTCGTATGTTTTCCAAACCGGTAAAACTAAAAGTCCTTTTTAAAGTGAATATATTATACAAAGGTGTCCGTTGAAATCTAATGACTGTAAATTAAATTATAAATTACGCCAAGAATTACCGTATATGTCAATATTTTTTGTGCATTTGGGCCAAATTGAGCAATCTCCTTTAAGCCACTCTAAACCTAAAATTTAGAGAATCATGACAGACTCAACACCAAAATGGAAATTACACTAATATTAAAAAGGCGAAAGTTTGTGATTGTTTGAGTGTGTTTGCCGTAATAGGATATTACAATATTGTAATCAAAACACTTTAGTGGTCTTTAACGGTCTAGGTGGTCGGCAAATATCCTGAGCAAGTGGTGGTGGTGGTGCCCGCCGGACACTATAGTAATGAGAGGACGAAAATAACTCACATCGACGTCGGACAAGTGGTCGGCGAAGATTCTGAGCAAGTGGTGGTGGTGGTTCCCGCCGGACACTATAGTAATGAGAGGACGAAAATACCTCACACCGACGTCGGACAAGTGGCCGGCGAAGATCCTGAGCAGCTGGTGGTGGTGGTTCCCGCCGGACACTATAGTAATGATAGGACGAAAATACCTCACATCGACGTCGGACAAGTGGCCGGCGAAGATCCTGAGCAAGTGGTGGTGGTGATGCCAGCCGGACACTATAGTAATGGTCGGCGAAGATCCTGAGCAAGTGGTGGTGGTGGTGGTGCCCGCCGGACACTATAGTAATGAGAGGACGAAAATAACTCACATCGACGTCGGTCAAGTGGCCGGCGAAAATCCTGAGCAGTTGGTGGTGGCGGTGCCTGCCGGAGACTTTAGTAATGAGAGGACGAAAATAACTCACATCGACGCCGGAAAAGTGGCCGGCGAAGATCCTGAGCAGCTGGTGGTGGTGGTGCTCGCTGGACACTTTAGTAATGTGAGGACGATGATCACTCACATCGACGTCGGACAAGTGGCCGGCGAAGATCCTGAGCAGCTGGTGGTGGTGGTGCCCACTGGACACTACAGTAATGTTAGGACGATGATAACTCACATCGATGTCGGACAAGTGGCCGGCGAAGATCCTGAGCAGCTGGTGGTGGTGGTGCCCACTGGATACTACAGTAATGTTAGGACGATGATAACTCACATCGACGTCGGACAAGTGGCCGGCGAAGATTCTGAGTGGCTGGTGGTGGTCTGTGGCCCAGAGGCGCGCGGTGCGGTCGTGCCCACTGGACACGAAATAGTGTCCGTGCGGTGACCAACGTACATCCCATACGGGCCACACGTGCCCGCGGTACACTACCAGGCATGTCCAACATTGCAGAGACCACAATCTCACTGAAATATAGTTCTCCGATTGAAAAAATTGTAAGAAAACCGAATGAAATAAAATTAAGACCTTAGCATAAGACATATTAATGATGCTATGGAAGAGTGGTTCCTTCTGGTACAGGTGTTAAACACTTAATAGAAGGAACCCACCCTGGTTTGGTGTACAACAAATGTGGTATCGTATTAAACTTTTAAGATTTTTTAATTAGAATGGAATAAAATCCACTTACACTAATTAACAGGTATAAAATACTACTCATACAATATCCTCGCAAAACCTCAAACACACTGACAGCCATTTCTTCCATTTATCCGCAAACACATCACATTCATGACTGGCTTCCAGGAAAGCACGCAGGGCGCGTGGGATGGACCATCTTACACGAGCGACTGTGCGACAAACTGGAACAGCAATTAATTTGTGTCTTCTACTGCGACCATAGTTATTAGATACTTGTTAAATTTACGAGCGTGCTCGCATCCGCGGCAACTGCAGGACCGCACTAAACTGCGGCTTCGTAATTTTTTTTAATATAACAGCTCAGCAAAGGGTAGTATTGCCCAAATGCAAGAATAAGACGAGACGAGTCTTGGTCCCAAGACCAATACCAGCAATACCTATACTGCGCTCCCAGTCTTGGTCTTGCGGCCAGAGTCTCGCAAGTCTCGAAATTAACTATTAGCCTTTTGTCATTTCATTAAACGTTACTTTAGATCTTAGAACAACGTTACGAAGTAGGTACATTTTGAGCTTTAATTAACATAGCCATAGTAAAGACCAACCAAATTAATAAATGTCTAAACATTTAATGAGGAATTCGTAAAATCATTTGGTATCGGGCGGGGCTTTGAACCTACGACCTAAGCGATCCGTGCCGATGCTCTAACCAGCTGAGCTATCTACCGTGTCCCACGGAAGTCAGTCTGATTCTTAATAAGATTTTACGTTTAGTAAGCTACATGTAAGCTAAAACATGGTCAAAACAAATTAATGAAATTAAAGTGGTTCGACGCGCACTAGCTTACTATTTGCGCGATTAATTTAAATTTTCATTTAGAGTTCTTTATAAAACGTAATTGATTAAATTCCATTGAGGGCGCTACTGAGCGCGTCGAACCACCTTAAACTGTATTTTATGCCCGATTTACACTTTGGAAAGTACAGTGGCGAGTTGGAATTACATTGCGGGCGGCGTATTGGACGCTGACTCTCGATCCAAACCGCTGTCCGCAATATAATTCTTTTAATCAATTATATTTCAAAATTCCGAGGCCGCTATTAACTATTCGACTAAATTAAGAGATAATATTCTATTTTTTCACTTCATTTGTTTAGAAAAGCTCTAAATCCATGAACTCAAAAATCCTTTGCGCATTTTATGGAAATCGATTTTTGTAATTTTGAGTACAATAAAAAAAGTTATGCAAAATTTAAAAGCGAGGAAATATTCCAATAGTTATCTGTAGCATTATATAAGTGAAAATTATTAATGTATTTTGGTTTCTGAGATCAAGAACGCCAAAAATGCAATTTTACGCAAATTTCATAGTTCAATTTTCTAAATTTTTATTATATGCTAGTGGCCCGCTCTCGCTTCGCTTCGGTGTAGAGCTGTAGTGTAGACTAAAATGACTTCTCATATAATTATAAAAAAAAAAACTGAAAATGGTATATTTGCCTTTTCCAAACTTCTATTGACATCACGTCACTCAATTGTTTTGCCTTCCCGGAACCTCTCCACTAACATTTGAAGTTTATGGTATGGTATTAAAGTTCAAATTGACTATTAAGTATTATTACGAATCGTTGGTATGGTATACTCCCATTCCAAAGATTCGTAATAATACTTAAAAGAAGAAGTGTTCTTTTTGGACTTTTTCAGGCAATTTTTTTAATTTTTCTCTGCGTAAAAACCATCCTCGTACTTCAAGGAATATTCTAAAAAAAGAATTAGCGAAATCGGTTCTGCTGTTCTCGAGATTTGCGCTTAGCAACACATTCAGCAATTCATTTTTTAACATAAATTTTTTGCGTCTCATAGAGTCCATAAGCATAATTATAGCCGAACTCCTGTACTCCCTGAAACGACACAATCCGAACTGCAAGACGAAAGTCACATGCTTAGTCTTGTTCTTGCTCAAATCTTGCACGGTCAGTCTTGGTCTTGCGAAAATGCAAGAGATCAAGACTGCAAGACCAAGACCGATTTTGGGCAACACTAGCAGCAAGTGCGAAAAAACAGTTTTAATTGACAGTTGGTTAGGAACACGCAGTTCATTCCCGTTGGTTATGGAGAAACATGGCTCTTTATCTTTCTGGAATTTATCTCTTATCTATTAGTCCGTCTGTTTGTGGTGCTGTTTCAGCGGCCAAAACGTAAGAGATAGATAAAGAGAATATTTAAGTTATAAGTTAAGAATAGTCTGATAAGACTACAAACCGGATTTGAGTAACGTAGCACTTCCGGTTTTCGAGAAATCAGGTTTTGGTGAACATTTGGTTCACTGGTTTGCTAGTATAACATAATTTATCAAATCTGGTAGTAGCTGAATATAAATTGGCCATTAAAAAGACACATAACATGGTAAACAGTGTTCATTCCAGTTACCAAAGAAGATAGGAAGCAGAAAAACGAAATCAATTGACTAAACAGTTGAATTACTAAAAATGGAGATGTTATTAAAAAATACCGTAGTTTAACTGCTACCTTTCGTTTCATTTCGTTCTGTAATGAGCGATGCGTAGCTAGGGAGGCCAACCCTACTGTATAATACAGGGCGTCCCACGGGTACCTCACACGGAGGGAAAGTATATTAAATATTGAAGATAGGATATTTTACCGAAAGAAGACATCATTTTATTTTTAATTATAACTAGAACTGCATTCACAGATTTTTTTAAAATCGCCTGCTAAAACGGGGAATCAAACACATGAAATTTCGAAAAAAAAACTAGGAGTTTTATGATAACCATCGAAAGAGTTAATCATAAAAAATATTTTTTGCTAAATAACTAAGCATTTAAATTAAAGAAAAATTACACATTTTATTAAAAAAGTAATAAAAAACGAAATGTATCAAATGTTCTAAATGTGATCCGATTTGTTGTATGCATATTCTCACTCTATTAATGTTTTCTCTGCCTGTCGATTTCATTATCTTTGCGTGGTGAATGTTTGTAATAATACGTCTGAGTTATTTTGTAACTCCTGCACACTGTCTTACCGGTTCTTGTATACTACATCTGTTACATAACCCCACAAAAAAAGTCCAGTGGGGTTAGATCTGGGGATCTCGCTGGCCATTTTATTTGTCCATAAGAACCGATCCAGACAGGAAAGTGTTCATTAAGAAACTCGGCAGTTCTCCAACTGTTATGAGTCCCATTTTGCTGGAAAATGAGATTTCGTCGATTTGCATCAGAAAGATTCACACCTCTTAAAATATTAAGTATTTCTAGATATCTTTCCGTATTTAGATTCCCTTTGTAAAAATGTATTAAGAGAACCCGGTTTTAAACTAAAATCAAAAACACAAAAAAAGAACAGTACCCTTAGCACGAACCAATATCGAATTCGAATTGTTTTCGAGTGCGAAATGTCATTATCAAATGTGTACTGATTTATAGTTCTCGTTACGTACTTTGTGGTGCTGCTGTATAAGTTTCCATACAAAATTTGACATTGACATTTTACACTCGCAAACTATTCGAATTCGATTATGGTTCGTGCTAGGGGTACAAACGCTTGAGAATGTATGTGTTCTATTTTCGAATTATTATTTTTCCAAGCAGCCAATCGCATTGTAACTGAGTTCAAAAAGAAATGCATACATACTACAGTTTGTATATCACTTTATTCTTTTTATCACGTAATAAGACATTCCTTTCATTTAAAATGCTATGTTAATTAGTAAAAAATAATCTTTATGATAAACCCTTTCGATGGTTATCATAAAATATGTCGTATTTGTTTTTTCGAAATTTCACGAGTTTGATTCCCAGTTGTAGCAGTCGATTTTTAAAAAATCTGTGAATGCAGTTCTAGCTATTATCAAAAATGAAATGATGTCTTGTTTCAGTAAAATATCCTATCTTTAATATTTAATATACTTTCCCTCCGTGTGAGGTAGCCGTGGGACGCCCTGTATAGTATCCTACTATATTAGGGGATCAAATACTATATTATTGAAAGAAAAATTGTATGCGAAACTACTAAGTATATTTTGCGTAAAGAGGACGCTTATCAGTAAAAGTTTTCTTAAAAATAAAAAAAAAATATTAGTAAGGCGCAGAATAGACATAAATATTCATTTAAAAATAAAGTAAATATTTAAATACTGTATTTGATAGACAACAAGTTGGTAACTGTATGCGTAGCGTAGTACACTGGCTCTATAATACATAAAATATATTAAAATATTACAATAGTTTAATAAGATTTACCTGTGGAATCTTCTGAACAGGAAAGTAAAAAAGTTTTGAATGGATCAAAACACACTTTGTAAACAGGGCCCGAGTGTCCGAATAGTGTGCGACATGTATCCCTATCCTTTTCCTCCATCATCCTTACTAAGACGTCACCTATAAATTTAATTAAACAATCTATACTTTTCTCAACAATATTAACAGATACTTCAACTACAGTTACTTAACTAAAATTACAGACATGTTTGAGGAAGTGAATAATATCAAATATAATCTTGGAAAAAGATTTACAGTCCAATTGAACCTTTAAGAAAAAAAAGCGAATATTCAATAGGAATTCAAGTTTAGTGGCTTACCAGCCTCTCTATCAATGTCTTGCAATTTGTCTGCTGATTTCATACCACGTAACCTTACTGGTGTCAAAGTCCAAACCTGAGAAAAGCCACAAAGGAAAACGATTCAAGAACAGAAAGCATACCAATAAAACTACCATGAATAAATAGAATTAATGATGTAAACAATTTATACCTTAATGGTGGAGTTATTGAAGCCAACAGCCAATAAAGTCGAGTCATCACATATGTCAGCACTTATAGCTGTATGACCGCTATTTAATAATGTGTAAAAACAGATTGAAGGTAATGTGTCTGGTCCAAGGGAAACTCTTTTTGCTGCTTCTCTTAAAGCTTTCCCTTTTTCTAATTTGTCAGCTTCTTTTCTGAAATTATTAGCTCTTTGTTAGCTTAAGAGAGGAACATATTGAGAACTCTTTGCTTAATAGAATTTGAAGGAAACTATTTTAGTCAACAGTCAAGTTTGATATGAAATATTGACATATAGAATATTTTATTGTACATACAGTTCTGGAAATGGAATTCTGTCATTTGGAGGAGCATTTGGATCAGATTTTGGTTTTTTCATAAAAATATTATCTTTCTTAGCTTTTTTCTTCTTTGGTTTGTCAGGAGTCTCTTCAACTTCCTCTTCATCTTCTACAGGTGCAGGGAGAACTTGAATGTCAGGTTCTTTTAGGAGACCATAATATACCTTGATGCGATTTTCTGTTAGCAAAGAATTAAAGTTTATGATCTATAATACATCTAAAATAGTTATTTTGTTTATATCTATAGAATCACAATACACATAAATCAAACTTAACTTCCTGCAATAGACATTACCTTTCATCTTAGTCAGGAATCTAAACCATATACTTTTCTACCAAATTGCATAAGCAAAATACTTTTTCATCAATTCATTTTAAATGTGTGTAGTGTACATATATGACACAATTTAGCAGCTGGACCTGATTTTGACAAGTCTTGGTTACGTATATGGTCGGTTATTAATATTGGTGTCAGGACTTTGGATGTTAGTTTTAAAATAATAAAAATTTGTACCATTTTTTGTAGCTTCACCTAGGAGACCTCCTGCTGTTGCCCGTACTTGAGCTAAAGTGCGGCCAGGCCCATCGTGTACATCTATCTGGATGTGATTGTTGATAATGTTGATAATCACTGTTGAATTCTTTTGTTCATGTAAATATCTCTTCAATTGTGATGATGCATCCCGAGACATTTGCACAATGAATTTGTTTGTACTAACATGCAACAAATGAATTTTACATTAGACAAGAAGTTGAAATGAAATTACAAACATGAAAAACATAAGTAGAAGAAACATAGCAAAGTTCAGTGGGGCAAATAATTGTATGTTGAATACAAGCATTTGTATGTAGGTCATCACTGTTTATTCTATAAAAATATACTTATCTACATATTGTTCCACATGATTTCTATCTGTTATCTTAGTATCCCATAACACAAGCCCTAGAAGACTGACTTTGGGGCTAGGCTAATTGATGTGAGTGTTGGAAATATTTATTTAATTATTCCTGAACTTTGAAATAACTGAATTTTATTTTGATATTTCATAAGTCTAGCCTAAGTTTTAGTGCAGATTCATGTTAATTTATCTTTGTCCATTTCAGGCATTTAATGTATGATCATTGGCCATTGCTCTTTGCAAACCTTGAATACAGATTAATGCCATGGGAGTTTGTATAAAAAGTAGTAAGTAAAAAAATATATTTTCATACATAACAATGTACATGGTTGTACTTTTGAACCATAACAAAGTAAGAAGTTCACCTGTATATTTCAGCAATTTCATTTCCTTTAATTTGATCCTTGTGTTTAACAATGGCTAGCTTTTTCAGGTCTTCTTGATAATAATTTTCTTGTTCCGGAGCAAACTTTTCCAAAAACACTGCAGCATGTTCATTATGATCATAAAGTATGAGAAGTAAGTACATATGAACAAATACTGGATATAACAGAGTGGACAGTTCATGCTGTAATAATAAAATTTTAAAATTTATAGAATAAAACAACAAATTTATTATATTTTTTGGACTGTTTTTTTTAATGGGGTTTAAGGTAATAAAGATAACTGCATTGCTGATAGGTATTCATCAGCCCAGCAGCACCAGCACCTCCAATCACCACTACAACAATAAACTATCTCTAGATACTATGCATTAATTTTGTAAATAAATTTATACCAAATTGGTACTATGTATTTCTTGTTAATTTTTTGTTAGTTTAAGTATACAATATTTTAGGTATTTCAAACTTTATTATAGGATAAACTTTAACACTTAGTTTTTAGTAAACTAAAAAAAACTAACTTTAACAGATTCTTTTATTAGGGCTAATATTATCATCAGTTTTTATGTACTGCTGCATAGTATCATAGGTAAGCAGGCTGTGAACCTTACTTGCAACAGACTGCAACACAACAGAATAGTGATGCTTTAAATGGCTGTTGTAATCTATATAATGATGGCTACTATAATCGATTAGTGCTCCAAATTTGGCAAAATCTCATATATCCACTGTTACCAGATTATGATGCTATTTCAACAGGTTTCAAAAGTGCTATTTCGTACTTTTATATATTTCTCATCATATCAATAGATAGCAATGGTACTTTTGATGGGTTCAGTTAATACTATTAAAGGCCGAATTACAAACCTTGTAAATATCCAATGAATTTTCTACAAACTTTCTCAAACTGTCATAAGCAACTTCATAGCTGTACGGATCACTTTCAGTATGATGTGCTGTAAGAATACTGGCGATTTCAACTTCAGGTAAGTCCAAATTCTCATATTCGACGTTGCCTAAGCTAGCTTCTTTTCTTAATATTTCTTCTGTATCCTGAGAATAGATTGTCAGCAGTGTTAAAAATCTGTTTCTGTATTAGCACAGCACAGCACAGAAACACTTCTAACTAACACTTGGTATGTACCTACATTCCATACTTACCTTAAGATTATATTTACGAAGTAGTTGCAATACTGCTAAAAGGGGAGTTGATTTATCACCCATTGTTGAAAAAGTACAAATTAGCTATCTGCCTGTATGTTAGTAAATTTCAACAGAATTAATAATTCAATTTCTTCTGTGACAAAGAGATTTATCAATCTATGCGTAATATTATTATATTGTTCATTACTCCGTTTGTTGTTGTTTGAATTTGAAATGTTTTAAAACTTGCAATATTTATTTGAAATGATCAATCAGTGGAGTCATTTTTTTTTTTTTTTTTTTCGTTTGTCCTTTCGGACAGGCTAAGGTCTGGGACCATACTGCCTCGTCATTAGTTATTTTTCTTCTTTTTATTATTAAAATTCAATATAACTTCCTCAGTTTGATAATTTCCGGTATATTTTCTAGTTTTTTGTTTTACTCTATTATTATGTGCTTTTTTCCGAGCACATTGAACATCTTAAACACCAAACATTTAATTTTTTCTCTTACTAGACAGTCCAATCATGAATTAATTACATCCTATATGAATTTCATATTTATTTAATATCTTTTTTATAGTACACATTTACACAAAAAATAAATCATAGACCAATACCATGCAATACCTTAATCCTAATACAAAACTTAAGAAAAGAAAAAACAAACTTAAAACAACGACATTTGATACGTTTCAAACTTGTTTCAAACCGACGACCTAAACGAAAAAGAATACCTACAAGCAAAATTACGAAAATAAACATTTTTTTCAAACAAATAAAAGGAAAGAGAACATGCGGTACCTATTAAACTTAACTGAGCGTTTTGTGTATGCAGAACATTTAACCTTAAAATCTAATACACAACGATATTACAGAATATTTATATTTCTTCAACAGTGTTTGCAATGAAATTATACAGAGGAACGTATGTACAATTATTTACAAGAAGATCGGTCAAGGAACGCGGGACCAAATCATGTTTGCCATAAATTTGGATTAGCTCATCCAACAACACAAGGCGCTGAATGCCGAAGGATGGGCAGTCAAAGAAAATGTGAGCTAGGGTTTCTTCTTGGGAATTGCAATGAGTACATTGAGCATTAATCACCATTTGCAACCGAAAGAGATGGAAATTAAGCCGACAATGACCAAACCTTAAGCGAAAAATCGTCGTATAGAATTTTCTATTCAAAAAGCTATTTGATTTGCAGAACCATGGCAATTTGTTTACATCAACATAAAGAGGTGTGTACCATAGACCTTTACCTTTAACCTGTACTATACAATTCCAATGGGCTCGCCACTCTTGGTGCATTCTTTCCTTTAGCAGAACAATCAAATCTGTATAAGGTATAGACATCTTCTGAGTATTGGTTTCAGTAGCTAGAGTATTGATAGATTTTGCTAGATAATCTGCATTTTCATTACCTGTTACACCAATGTGAGACGGAACCCACATGAAACTTACAATTATATTATCAACATTGTATAGATCATACCAGACTTCTTTAATAGCATGAATAATGTAATTGGTGTTTGCACTTAATTTATTGTTTTCTAAGTTTTTGAGCACACTCATGCTATCACTAAGTATTAGCCATTTTTTATGTCCTTGATTTTGGTGTTTTATGTGTTTCAGAGCAGCCAAAATTGCTAGAGCTTCTGCAGTGAATACAGAGGAATTTTTGTCTATCTTGTAACCTAAACCAGATTTTATAGAGCTAACGTAAAAAGAAAAAGATGCACTTGAATCATTTTTTGAGCCATCTGTATAAATATGTTTATGATCAACCCAATTTGATAGTTCACCAAACACCTCCTCTTTAGTAGAAAGCTCCTTGTAGATATTTATGTCAATTGATGGAAATTTGCTCTCAAAATGCCCTTCATAGCATGGTAAGATTGAAGGCTTATAAATGTTGGAATTTTCGAGAAACTGAGTGAACTGAGGAAATCCTTGCATGATATACAAAGGCCTACCTGCCAGTGATTGTGATAAATATGAAATATTTTTTAAAAGTTGATTATTGTTTATTGAGAATAGCTTCAAAAGGAATCTTTCCTTTAAGTAACTAAATCTTATTGAAATGGGAGAAAGATTACACTCAATTTGCATAACATTAATGGGAGTGCTTTTGAAAGCACCAGTTATCAAACGCATACTTTTATTTTGAATTTTGTCTAGGATATCTACAATTTTGTTGTCATGAGCAAAACAAAAAAAAGCATACTCAAAATGGCTGCGAATCAAAGACTTATACAGTAACAACAAGATCTTAGGATCAGCTCCCCAATATGTAGAAACTAAAGATTTTAATATGTTTAAAGCTTTGTTAGCCCTAGTTGTTATGTGTTCAATATATTTTTTCCAAGATAAGTTGTGAGTTATTAAAACACCCAAAAACTTTGTGTCTAATGAAACTGGAATAGCAACATTGTTATAGTAAACAGTAGGCATCAAAGATCTATTTTTCCCAAATACAAGCAGTTTTGATTTTAATGGGTTAATATCAAGATTTAAGTATGTGAAATATTGATTAAGATTAAATAAGGCACTATTAATTTTATTTACTAAATTTGTAATTTTATGATCGGAAGCATATACTACCAAGTCATCAGCAAACTGTAAATTTTTGACATGTCCACCCAGAATTAAGTTGAGACGTCGGATATATAATATAAAAACAAGAGGAGATAAAATTCCTCCCTGACAGACACCAACAGAAGCCAACCGTGGGCCATATAGGTAACCATTATTCTTAACAAAAACTTTTCTTTCAGACAAGAACTTTTGAACCCAATGAACAAGTTTTGGTGGTATACCCACTGAAGTTAACTCATTAGAAAGCACATCAACATTGACACTGTTAAAAGCTCCCGCAACATCAAAGAATACAGACACCATAGTTTGATTTTTTACTAGACAATTTTGGATGTCAAGTTGTAATTGGCAGATACTTTCACGAGATGAGCGACCTCTTCTAAATCCAAACTGATTCGAAGGTAAAATGCCATTTTTTTCCACATAGAACTCCAATCTTTGCTTTAGTAGTTGTTCAAAAATTTTTCCTACACATGAAGTTAGTGCAATAGGGCGATAAGAATCTTTATCCAATTTAGGCTTATTAGGCTTTAAAATAGGAACCAAGCAATCTATTTTCCAACAAGGTGGTATGTCATTGTTTTCCCAAAGATGATTTAAAACCTTCAAAAATATCTGCAAACTAGAATCACTAAGAGTTTTCAACATTTTATAAGGGATACCATCCAATCCAAATGCACTTTCTCTTCTGGAGGAGACTGCGTTTTTCAATTCTGTTATTGTAAATGGTTTTATTAAAAAGAGGTTGGTGGAATTTGATTGAGATCTATTGTAGGAACAGTCCTGATGAGTAGGTACATAATCAGGAGTATATTTCTTAAGAAAAGGTAAAACCCAGCTGTCACAGTCTGGATGACTTAAAATAAAAGATTTATTGAATTTACGCATATATTTCCAGATTACAGTAAGAGGGGTACAACGATTGAATGAACTACACAAATCAGCCCAGCTTTTTGATCTTTCAGTTTTAAGGGTGAGTTTTTTTAAAGCTTGCAACCTTTTAAATTCCAAATAGGTTGTTTCTGATGGATTATTTTTAAATGTAATATATGCTTGTTTAGAATTACTCACAGCAACTGAACAATTATTATTCCACCAAGGTAATGAGAGTCTTTTGCCAGTTTTTCTGTTGGTAGAGTTGGATTTTAATTTGGTAGGGGTTAAAGACTCTGTGGCTGAATAAAGAATTTCACAAAATAGTGTATAAGCCTCCAATGGGGTGTATGATTGAACACAAAACTCAGATAAAAGACTTTCAACTTTACATTGATACATTTTCCAATCAACCAGTTTAAAATTTTTGAATATTGGAAAAGTGACCTTATCATCCATGACATTATTGTTATTACAATCTTGTTGGTTGTTGACATTGAGACTAATATTTGTTTTTACAGGTAGATGATAACTGCCGAGAGGATCATCATGAACAGACCATTCACAAGATAAAGCCAAAGAAGGACTAACTATGGTCAAATCTAGAGCATTGGGCCGCCAAGTTAAAGAGCCAACTGTGGTTGGTTGCCCATCATTAAGAAGAATCAAGTTATTTTCATCAATGATATCCAGAATATCTCGACCACGAGGATTTGTGGAATTACAGCCCCAAGAAGAGTGATGACCATTAAAATCACCTGCAAAAATCATCGGACCAGGGATAGATTTTATAAGAGAATCTAATTTGCTTTTACTAAAGGCAGGATTAGTATTTGGAGGACTGTAAAAGCTAACAATTGATATATCTTTATTTCTTATTGTAATACGAATACAAATATTTTGCAAAGTATTATCAAAATTTGTATTGATTTTAGTATAAACAATGTTATTGCGAATTAATATTGCAACTCCATTATGTATATTATCAGAATCATTTCTTTCTATGTTGTAACCTTTTATTTTGAATTGTTGATTCGGTCTTAGCCAAGTTTCTGATATTAATGCTAAATGAATGTTGTGTTCATAAAGAAAATTTGTAAATATGAGCCTACTGCTTACTAAACTCTGAGCATTCCATTGTACAATATTTAAGTTAGCCATTTTTATTTTTGGAAGGTATTTTTCTGAATGTATTATGTAAATTTTCTTTTATAGTATTACTATTTATAGGTACATTCTTATTAGATACTATATTCATTATTGTTTCTACTAATAAATTCATAAATAAGTCTGATTTTGATAAATTATTTAAATGTGTTTCTATCGATTTTTCGGCAAGTTTGGGAAATGATTTTTCATTAAACAGTTCTGAATACTGCACAGCTCTACTTTTAATTTTGTTGTCTTCGATCTGTTGCTTTTTAATTGGACAAGAGGATGAGATGGCTACGTGATTACCTCCACAGTTAGTGCACTTTGCATTTTCTATATCAACAGTACAAGATTTATAATTATGATTTGTCGAACAAATTGAACAGACTTCATTATTGCGACAAAACTTAGCAATGTGACCGAAACGCATGCAACGTAGGCACTGCTTAACAGGTGGAACGTATGGACTGACCTCGTGTCTCCAATGGTCTAGATATACGTATTCTGGCAACTGAGTAGAGGCAAACGTTACTGCGACTGTTTGCGTGGGCTGGTACGAGACTGCACCAGCATCCCCCCGCACACGCCGCATGAACCGCCGGACTTGTATAATGTTTTTGGAGCTACCTATCAAAGAGAAAATGTTTTTATTTGACAATTCGGTAGGGACAGAT